TTGAAGTTGTCAAGGATTTCATTTTACTTGGGTCCATAATGCTCATGGAAGTAGCTGTCAGATTATCGAACGACATTGTACTGGGCAAATCTGCTGTACAAGATCTCTAAAATATTGGAGAGCAAGGATGTCAGTTCGAAAATTAAGGTGTCTTGATCCAAGCCAGGGAGTTTTTAGTGGCCTCATATTCATGTGAAAACGACCACGAATAAGGAAGACTGAGGAAGAATTGGTGCATCTAAATGATAGTGCTGTTGAAAAACGTTGAAAGTACTGTGGACTACCAGAACAAGGAATGAATCTGTCTTTGAAAAAATACAGCTATTCCATTCTGTAGATGTGAGGAGGGTGGGACTGGATCTCACAACATTTGGAGGTATTATTAGGAGAGTTCAGTACTTGGCAAAAACCATCCAGAGTGGTACAGAGGAGGGTTGATAAAGAGAGGAAGATCCTTCAAGGAGATAGGCTGACACACTGGCTGCAACAATGGACTCTCAGACAACAAGTGTGAGGATGGCGCAAGAACAGGCGGCCTTTCATTCCGTTCTGCATAAGGTTGCTATGAGTTGGAATTGACTCAGTGTCACTCAACAACAACAAACAACAAATAACAAACAGCAAATGGCAAATAATAACCAACAACAAACAGCACACCACCAACCAACCACCAACCAAATAACGAACCAAACCAACCAACCCAACCAACAATGGAAGAATAAGGGTTGAGGAGCCCTGGTAGAGTGGTGGTTTCCTGTAGGACTGCTAACTACAGGGTCGACAGTTTGAAACCACCAGCTACTCCATGGGAGAAAGATGAGGCTATCTACCCCAGTAGAGTTACAATGTCGGTAACCCACAGTGGGGGTGTCCTTCTGCTCTGTAGACTCTCTAAGAGTCTGTATTGACTTGATAGAAGTGATAGCAGTAAGGGCTTACAAAAAAAAGAGTATGTATATATATTTTGGGTGGCATGGGGTATTAAAATAGTATTTGTAAATATATATTTTGGGGGGTGGGGTATTAAAAATAGTATTTATAAATCAATGATAGGCTTAAAAGGATGTATGGAATTATTTGAAATGCAACTAGAGGTGAATCTTCATTTGTAGGATCTGTGCCTCATCTGTTACTCTTGTTAGCACTGTGGGCAGTGGTTTTGTTTCATACCCACCTCTCTGGCTGGTATTTGCTTTGTCAGACCTGCTTTTAATTCTACTTACTGTAGAATTAATAATATCTTTTTATTAAAATTGAAGGCGCTTCTATTTTTTATTTGATCTTCTACTTTGTTGATCAACTTTTATCTACTTGTTTTAGTTTTCGTTCTTTAGGGAATTCAGTATTCATGCGTTTTCTAGCCCTCAAATAGTTAATAGTTATATATACATTGCCAATGAAATAGCTTAGTATTCAGGAAAACTTTGTAAATAGAGGTGGGAGCCCCCTCCACCAACTTCTTATTCTTGAGAACTGTGCCATGTGTGTCAATGAAGTACATAAGATTTTAATATTGGGTCATTTTTGGGAAATAATGCTACTGATTCTAAGTAGGCAAAATAGCCTACTTAGAATTATTATAATCCTTAGAATTATTATAACTCTAAAAATGCTATTCTAAGCAGACTCCAATTCAAAAGGAAAAAGGGTCAGTACCTTCAGATAAGAACTAAAATATTAAATTGCAATTAGAATAAAATTAAACTCTCCCCACAGTTTACATTATTCTTCACAACCTGGCCTCAGTGTGTGCCCCCTACCCCGAAAATAGCCCCACCAGCCTTGGACTCTGTCATCTCATAAAGCATTTTCCTGCCTCCGGGACCGTTGCTCTTACGACCTTCTCTTCTCAGTTCTTCTCATGCGTTTCCACGAAGATCTTACCCCGTGTTACCCCAAACCACCCGTGCCTGTCTTACCTCAAGCAGCCCCCTTCTGTTCTCTTTCTCTGACCCTGTTTCCTTTTTCGGTAAGAGGACTATAAGAGGGCAAATAAAACAATATTGCTGTGGATGTTCCTGTTTATATAGATTTATGCCAAGCAAAACATTTAGACGTCTCTCTGATCAGGAAAGGCTGCAGACAAGTTCTTGCAGTAATATTCTTGTCTTGATCTTGTTAGGGCCCCTTCAGGAAAAGGCCCAGTCACATCCCCTTACAGGAGGGTGGCAGGGAGGAGACAAACCAGTCAGG